GCCCTACTTGGATGACCGGCCTGGTTGCTATCTAGATAGAGGTACTTGACCAACATACTAACTTGCTCGTAACATACGCTAACCTAAGTTATAAGTTGCGTTAACATCATCAAGTTTACCTGGCCAACATATTATGTTGGTGGTCTTGTGCTATCTAGATAGTATGTTGACGAAGTAGTTACGGTGTACTTAGTGAAGTTGCTCACATGTCAGCTATGTTAAGTTGGCTAATATACAATAAGAATTAGTCTATATACATATCTGTGCTAGGTAAGTTACTAAGTCCACTACTTAACTTACTATGTTGGCCGCGGCCTACTTACTAAGTTCGTCGGGGCCTACTTACTAAGTACGCCGGGGCATAGTTAGTAAGTGTGCCGGGGCCTACTTAGTAAGTGCGCCGGGCCTATTTACAAATTACAGTGGGACTTTTTTACAAAGTCTACTGTGGCCTGTTTCAGTGTTCATGAAGTGGGTTGCTCATGTGGATATGTTCATATGAGAGGCCTTGAAGTTGCAAATTGAGAAATTCGCAACTGTTGAGTGAGGATATTTCAAGTTGTAAGCTAAACATTTGCAAGTGTCGTGCTCGTCTTTGGTAAACGCATGTGAACCATGTATATACAAGCGCGGTTATTGCAACTGGTTGTCATTGAATGTGTCTCGTTAAACCTGCAAGGCGTCCTGTGTTTTTTTCACTGTTGGTTTTGGCAGTGTTGGCGCGGCTACCTGTAAAGACTTGCGCAAATTTGAGGCCGCTGTTTTAAAAAACTATTTGGCAAAAGCGCGCGCAAACCAAAAAACGGCTAACCATCATGCCTGAGTCTTCTACGTTACACACGTATTCGGGTGCACTGGCTATACCCTTTTTGTTGGGGCAGTTGGGTCAATTGCTCGCTGCAAACCCGAAAACGCGAAGGTGTTCAATGATTGCAGTCAAGAGCAAAAACTTGGGCTTGGCATTTTCAACCTCTTTGCTGACCCAATGGGCAGAGTCAGTACGACAATTTGGTTTGCACCCCAGCTGTTTGTTTTCATAAACAAATAGAAACAGAGGCATTTGCAGAGGTGAAAGCCAAAAGGAAACACAAACCACACACAAGGTTTTAACACTAAAAGAGGGCAAACAATGTTCAGCGTATATATGTCGCTGTCGTGTTCATCAAACCAATAGCTTTGAGAATTTGCTTGCGTTGAGCACTTCACTGTACAATGACATGTGCTTTGCAGTGATTGGAGATGTAATGTGAACATACTGTTCGAACTGTTTTTGCTGTCTAGTTTCAGATGTATTTTCAGCGCTGTTTGCGTTACGAGTTCACTGGTGTCTTGAGTGAAGCGGCTCAAAGGCTCACAGTGAAAAGGCACGCCATTGAGAGTGTGTGATCATGGATGGCCTTAACATGATGGAAGGCCTTGAAGGCCTTGACCCTTCCGTGGTTTGCATGGAGTTTACCACGTTGTCAACGAGTGATGAAGTGCCGCACTCCGGATCTTGGAGGAGACTGTGGCCGGGGCACTATGACAAAATTTTGAAGGGTGAAGCTATCTATTTGGCGCAGTTCGCCAATGGGGGTGGTGGCGCATGCAAGTATGTGTTCAAATCGAAATTGGAATGGAATGGCATTCCAAAGTTGGTTTATAGACACTGCAAGGACCAATTCCCACTAGTGGGGGTATTGGTCCACTCCGGCCGCCCAAAGGTTGTGGTGAATCAACAGATTACCAGTCGAGATGATGGTTTGGTGAAGGCGGTCTCTTGGTACTACTCAGTGTCAGGGAAATACATCACGTCTAAGTTCTTCTTTGTCACCGTTTCTTGGCAACGCCTAAGGTAAGCGTTTGTTATTCTTTAAAGTATTGATTGCTGCTTTACATCGTAGCAAAACAATTTGAATTTTGTTCTGCGTGCTGATTCTCGAAGCAATGTTTTTTCCGGCGCTTGCATTCTGTCAGGACAGGGTCTCGCAGAAGCAGTCGTTGGAATTTTTGCTGAAGCACTTGGTTGAAATCAACAAGGTCACGCCCGCGACAGAGCTGGCGCTGGACGACGAGAGTATACGTCCAAATGCTTTGATCTTCAAACCAGATCGAGTGCGTGAGATTGATGTTTCCAAAGAGGAAGACGAGTTGTGGGGCGCTGGAGAAGACATCGAATTATCCGAGGAAGAAAACATGCATGATTGAGGCGACTCGTTCTTGTAAAACCATCCACCAACTTTCTTGCATGTTTGAGTGTGGAAAGGGATCCACCTTGTTTTGCAGGAGCATTTTTGAGCATAATTGTAGATGAAGGTCTCTTCGACACACAAGTACCCAGACTCTCTTTTGCGGAGCATTTGTTTGAATTTGTTGCAGGGCTGTAGCAGTGGAGCAGTTGATATCCCTCTCATATGTTGTGAGGTCATTGCAAGGTGAATTTTTGTGAGCCATTGAAGGCTGCTTGCTTCTTGTGGGCGCTGGTTTCAAACAAATGAAAGCACTATAGCTCTGTGTCTGGATGGCTGTAGGTGATTGACTTCAAGATTGAAGATATACGGACCCACTTCACCATCGTCTGGCCTCTTGATAGTGAGCGCACTCGTTTTTTGATGTGGCAACGCGGAGTTGCCCTGATTTTCAAGCGCCTCTGGAAAGTGGAAAGTTGATATACAAGTCAACTCCAGTGCTTCACTGTGCATTTTTCCACAAAAAAAGGGAGTCCGTTGACCGCAACATGCTGTGCAAGCTTGCACGCATGCATGGATTCTCTTTGCCACTGCAGCTGTTTCTAATACACTGTGTAACAACACAAATAGAATGGTTTTGTACTTTGTTATGCAAGAAATAGCCAAGCTAGCAAGGCATGACAATTTGACAGATAGCCAATGGCAAGGCTAACAAGGCTTAAGATTGAAGAGCCAAGACAAACTTGGCATATCAAACTTGAAGGCCATGGACGATGCGCAGAAAGACACACTGCAGAAGATCATCGATGGAGCTGGGAGTGAAGGCATGGTGGCAGCAGCCAAGAAGGCTATGCAGTTCCTTGAGGACGAGCACCTGATGTATAAGCTTCACCTCAAATGCTCGCTGTTGGGAGTCTACGAGGGCAACCGCAGTGGGATGGGTATCGACTTGGCTCATCTCCAACAACTGATGAAGTCCATAGCTGCAGTGGGGTACGTAGACCATGGGGGCCGCATTTGCGTTGAATTGGACTCCACCAGTCCAGAATCAGAGAACACAAGGCAGGATGCTCAAGCACGTGCGTTTTGGCCAACTGTCTGTCTGGTCACGGGGTCTACTGTATATAGAAAGGTTTTTTTGGAAACACATAGTGTGTGAGTGTCCATGGTCACATATGTGGTATGTTTGCCTCCATCTGCGTGGCAGGCGGTTCAACCGCAAGATTGCGCTGGAATCTGGGGGCCGTCTGCCACCAGCAGACAATATCATGTATGCTACTCTGTCTGGCAGCCACTTGAACATGGCATCTCGTGCGATCGCGCACAGATGCACAGATGCACTGTCCATCGACGCGATTCCGTCGGGTTGGCGGGACGCAATCATGGAAGGCGTCTCATGGTTGGTGTTGAAGAGGACCGCATGGATCGAGTTCCCTGCCCTGGCGGATTTGCTTTGCCAGGCAGGCAACTCCATCCAAGCCATCAGTAAGGCTGAGGACGAGATCCAATTACTCCGAAAGATCCTCCAAAGCATACGCTGCTTCAAGGGGGTTCCCAAGTGGGTTGATGTGAGTGGAGAGGTTCTACGCAGCAGGCCACGTTGTTCGGCCTCTGGAGCAGGCATCTTCGGCTTTGCGCTGAGGTTTGGTGGTTGCAGTATGATCGATGCCACTGAAAGCCACATCCGCAATAGCGGTAGAACAAACCGCGAGCTTGGCCTTGAGGTGTGGACCATTTTGTCACAGGAGATGAAAAACTTCAACGCCCACCTGCGCTGGAGGCACATGCTCCTGAAGTTTGGCTTCTGCAACGAAGAGCGCCCCTTGAGCGCTACAGATGCAACTGGGCCGCTACATCGAATTCTCCAAAAGGTTGGGCAATTAGCTTGCCTTTGGTTCAAAGCCCAAAGGTAAACAAAAAAACACATTTGATAAGGGTTTGCAATGTGTATATGCAATATATATCGTGTACCGTGTACATTGTATCTATGTTTATTGCGCGAGGCAAAGCGGGCGATGACAAACCGGGAGGTCCTGCAGAGGGCACACAAGGCCATGGACGTCCTGTCGGCCTGGGACAAGTGCACGTCCGACTTCGATGCGAGGGCCGCCACTAGCCGGCTAGAGTGTGAGTTGGTTGCGATCGTGCTGGACAAGAAGAACCGGAAGCATGCGACTTTGTTGGAGGCAGCCCGAGTCAGCCTGCAAAAAGAGTTCCCTAGCGCCATCATGCCGGATACATGGAACGAGGCTGCTCCTGAGAAGAAGCCCGCGGCGAAAGCAAAGAGTTCGGCGACTGTCTTCAGGCAATACGATGCGAAGGGGAAGTTGACGAACCCAAAAGAGGTGATGACAAGCTTGGGGTTCAACATTGGGGTGAAAGTCCAACGTGGTGATTCGGTTGGAGTGATCACTGCCATCAAGGATAATGATGATGTGCAGCTGACATTGGAAGAAGATGGGAAACACAAGCAGGTGTTTTTGAGCGTCGCATCCTTCATTGGAGGGGAGTGGAAGCAGCACAGTGAGCCTAGGCCGCAACTGGAGATCAACTGGCTCGCTGACTCTCCAACTTGTTGCAGTGAGTTTGCCTGCGCAGTCATGAAGGCAAAGATCACGGCCGCAATGTTTGAACAATGCCAAACTTTGAAGGACTGGGAGACCCTACAGGTCTTCACGGGCCCGAAGGCCGTCAAGGCCCAGAAGGCCTTTCAGCCAAAGAAATTGCAGGTGCCGTGCGCTACCACGCGTGTGATGATGGTGGAGGCTAGCAAAGCCACAGGGGACCAGTTGATCATCGGAAACTTTCTCACCTTTGTGGTCGCGATCAGTGGCTTCAGCAAGATTGGGAAGAAGGATGGTAGTGAAGATGGGTTCCAGAACCCATTCTGGCTGATTCACAGGTCTGGTGAGGCCGATGATGCCAACATGGAGGCAGGTTGGAAGTTGCAAATGTGTGTCCAAAGCGGTTGTGGGCGGTTTATTTTTTGTTGGAGTTTATTCAGTGTGCTTTGCTGATGATTTACACATTCCCCAAACATGAGTTCCAGGTTGGGCAAGTAAAAAGGGAATATAAACATAAAGTATTCATGCGCAGCCCATATTCAAATTCCTTGTCGTAGCTCCTCAAGCGTTGTGAACAACCACATTTGCTGAAGCATGCCTGCGCAGGTCTTCCCAAGCTTGGAAGACATGAAGAAGAGAAATCTCAGCTTGGACCGCTCCATTTCCCTGCCTGTCCTCCGCAATGTGCAGAAACTGCAGGCCGGCGATGAGCTATGCCTTCACGTGGTGAAGAAGGAGAGGACGCTTGGCGAGCCTTTGAGGGAGGCGCCAGCGAAGAGACTCCGCAGGTGAGTCTCTCCTGAAGAGACTCCGCAGGTGCGTTTACAAAACGCCTTCAGCTCGGCTCCAAGGTTTTTGGTTTTTGAAGGCAGATTGGCATTGACTTCGCCAGTCTGTGCAGTGAGTTTTTGAGTGAAAAACACGAACAAAGCCATCTTATGATGTACATGTTATATAATTGTGCCTGCGTGAGTGGTGAGTGACTGAATTGATGCACATGCATTCTTCGAGTCTATGCGTGTGATGTGGATCAAGGTCTTCAGTTCCGGTCTGCTGGGCTTCATCAGCTCGCAGATCCCGTGGAGGTAAACAGTTCTAAAAACTATTGCCATGGCTGATGTTGCGGCCGATGTTCTGGCTGCTGATGCTGCCGAGGATGAGAGTGGTGAGAATGATAATCAATTGCTGATCCAGCAGGTTACGAAGATTGTGTGGGGAAAGAGGAAACCTTGGTTTCCGGAGGTGCAGATTGTAGGAGGTACGCCGTTTGTGACGTTCAACAAAGCAGACACACAGCTCTGCTACTTGGTGACTGGCAAGGGCATGAATCGGCATTCATGCCGGGAGACAGTGTCCCTTCAGGTGGAGTGGTGGGAAGAGGCCAGAAAACTGCGAAACTCGGAGTTTGCGTGAACACGTACATTTGGTTTCTTTGTTGTTTCTTTCGCAACATGAGCCAAATTATCAGCAATGTAGCAATTGGTCATCCGTGAAGTGCAATGAGGTCAGGCTGCTGCCACCGATGCACTTCGCAAACACATACTGGCTGGCATCCCGCCAGGTGACCCACACCCCAAACTACGCGCTGCCCGAGAGGACGATAAATGGTTGGTGAGCAGAGACGTGGTGGTCACCTTCCCAGAAGGCAACGAGGTGCGCATGCTATGGTCCGTGAAGTCGAGAGAGCTCCACATAGAGTTGTCTGAGCAGAGCCTCAGGTTCTGCTTCGAGTCATTGGCGAATTCTCGCCCGGAAGAGAAAAAAAAGAAACAGAAGAAGGATCCAGCTGAACCTGATGAAGAGGCCGAGGCTATGTCTCCTCCTAAGAGGAAGAAGAGGAGACTCAAGCGACGGTCGAGCCATGCAGACTCTGAGCATCATGATATTGGGGGATAGGCGTATAATCAAGATGTAAAGATGACTGCCACTGCTGCAGCCTTGTGCAAAGACCATGCAGTGCCAGGGCGAGTGAAAAAAAACAAAATGCGATTGTATAGTTGTGAAGGGGAAACAAAAGACTTTGTGAATGCATGGTTTGAAGTGATTCCGATATGTTCCCCAATCGTTGCGCGATAACATCAAGATTTGAAGTGTTTGATATCCACGTAGTACCTTTGCAATGTCGGTGGACAGAGATGCGCAGATAGAGGTGCTAGCTGACTTCGCGGAGGCGGTCGCTCTCCTCAAAGTGTGCAAAGACAGCGTCGAGAAACTCGAACGCAAAGTCTACATGATGTTTGGCCTGGAGCCGGGCCCGCAACCAACAGGTTCATCTATGCGCCGCTCCTTGAGTTCTGAACGTGATCAGCGCAGTTTTGCTGCCAAACGCCAGCGAATTGATTCATGTGAAACCCTGAAGCTTGGAGAGACGAACAATCTGGCAGAAGTGCCCATACCAGACACGGTTCCCTATTAGCTTCACGCGAGTTCAATCGAAGCCTCTTTTGATTAGTTTTTGCAAGGGCGTATTGTCGAGTGTAAAATACGCTGAACGGTGTGGACCTCCACTCAGATGAAGCTCGAATGTAAAACAGTGCGTGAAGGTTTGAGCTTTTGTGTTTGCAACATCTTTCAACAGATGAGCATGTGCTTTCTTTGCAACGTTTATATTGTCATATATTGTGACAACTAATAAAGGCTGTAGTGCAGAGTTTCTTTGCAGAGTTTTGTGACAACTGGCTATAGCAGGTGCTTTAGTCTTACATTGCAGCCTTTTGTGACGCTCTCATTTGAATCGTAGAACGAATTGCTGCTCCGTTTCGAGTTCATGTCTACTGTGGACCTGAGCAGCACACCCCGCCCTTTGTTGAAGCGCGCTCGCGCAGACTTGGAGGACTCCTCCTTGGTGATTTGGTCATGCTCTTGGCTGATGGACGATGACGGCCTTAAGTGGTGCGTTGTTCGCCTTGATGGATCTCGTCGTGTGAGACTTGCACGCAGATTTTGTGGGCCCCGACCTCTAATTATTACAGAATGAAAGGCACTCCTCTACAGAATGACGGCAATTTTGTTGCAACATATCGAATTGATTTTATAGCGGCCTCGAGGACCCCGTTTTCAAAAACAAAGACAATGCTTGAAAATCGGAACGCGGATCCAAAGGCAAACTGGAAAGGCGCACCGAACATCATGGCTTGTAAAATTGAGAGGTTGAACCCAACGTTCTGGTGGCACCGACCCCGCCCTAATTGGAAAGGGAATGCACTTGGTGTGTTCGATGTTGTCGTATTCCAGAGCTACCGTTTCCTTTTTCGTTTATGGTTCCTGGTTGAAGTTTCACATGACTGATTGGCTCAGGATTCCGTTTCAGGATGTTGCGGCTACATGGAGCATGACTGAGCCTGAGAAGGTCCTTGTCAAGGAAGCGATTGAATCAAGACTCATCACAGCCACCTTGTCGCGAGGGCGCATGAGAGTGCGGTGAAAAGGTGCTGGACAGTAGCAGAGTGCCCGCGAATATAGTATCCTTTGATATGACTATTTACATCATTTGATTCTAGACGCAGACGGCTTTTGCGCAGTTGTTTTTGGAATCGACTAGCTGATGTATTTTGCATGCCCAACAGGTATCATTTTTGTAAGCTTCTTAGTATTCGACAAACCTGTTTCCAAGTTTCTTTGCATCAGTCTTTGCATCAGTCCATGCAAGTGTATCTGTCACAACCAATCTGTCTCAGTTCATTTTCACCTCGCATGGGTTACTCCGAAACTTATTGAACCAAGCGTCAACAGTGAATGATGGTCAAAAGGTGTGCATGCACCACTTCAAACAATGAGAAACTTCTTTTGTCGGAATATTATCATTCGTAAATTTCGGAAAACGTGTATCTACTTTGCGGTATCATCAGCCAAACTCTTCCTTTGTCGAAGCTTGGAAATGTAGCCTCCTGGCCAAAGGCCTTTTGGCTCAAAACAAACTGCAGCATCGACCCTGGAGATATATCGAAACCATGGCGGGCGAGTTTGGCTTGGAAGGATACGAGCTCTGCGAGGAATTTGGCCAGACTCAGCTCATTGACTGTCGAAAGCATGCAGCCAGAGCTGATGGCTACAGCGTGTATTCCGAGCCGAACATCCTTTTGAACCACAGAGAATGGGTTCGGTGTGCTGTGCAAGTTCACGGCGATGGTGAAATTGATGCAAAAGACAGTCACACCCGCTTCCATGGCACAAGTTTCAGGGCTGCAGTGAGCATCATGAAGATGGGAGGTGTGTTCCTGGCTGGGGTGCGCGGTCATCAGGGCAACTTTGGAGTATTTTCCTGCAGCACGCTGGGTGAAGCATGGCTGAGGGTTGCATGGCAGGTTGATAGGCCGACCCCCTCAATGATGGCCATCGTTTTAGAGTTTGAGACAATGCAGTACAAATTGTACCACCCAAAGAACAAAAACTGTGGCGTGACAAGGGGTGCAGCAGGAGCACCAGTACCTGGTGTGACTCTGAAGGCAATACACATCAACATGGCAGCTGTGGATAGCTTCAAGTTGCTCCTCGACCCTTCCGTGACAGCTCGCCCAGTGCTCAAACGCTGTTGGAATTTCGTGAGATGCGGCCGCGCCTTGCATCAACGAGAGAAGTCAGAGTCTGAGACGGGATGGTACAAAAGCAACAAGGGCCACCACTACTGCCCGCGCTGCTGGCAGTTTTGGACTCACCGGTCCAAAGAAGCCGTTTTGCACCAGCCTGTCACCAGTGGACAGACATCCTGGAACGCCCATGGTGCAGTTTGAATTTTGATTTTGATAGGGACTTGCGCAGCTGCGTGATCCCGGAATAGGGCCGATCCTGATCTACCCCAGGGGCTGATCAAGACCGGATCCGCTTGAATCTGAGGTGTGCTGATGAAATTGATCACGTTTCAACATCTTATGAACTCGAAAGTGTTGTCATCATGGTTCGACATTTGTATAAACTCAAAAGCATGTTTCAGCATCTTATGAATTCTGCAGCCACCTCCTAGGGAATTTCTGGCAGACATTTTGTGTATAGTTATATGTGCCAGCTTAATGCCGACCAAACTCTGAAAACCAGAGGTCGAAAACATGGTCCAGGGCTAGTTTAGGGTTAGAGATGGGTTTTGGCTATAATACATAAATTGTCTTTCAAAAAAACATGAATCAGCTGTGGATGGGCATGAACACGACGGCTGTAGTGGGGTGGAGTTTAGGGCTTCAATACATAATACATATCTTTCAAAAGATTCGTCATTGTGATTTATGAGCGTGTGCTTTCTTTGCAAAGGTTTGGAATTGCTCTTCAAGAGGTAATCGAACACATTATCATTCTAATTTATGAGTCTGTGCTTTCAAGCTTCAGTTGGCTTTGAGTTTGTGGGGTATGCTGTATTGTGTTCTTTTCTTACATTGCAGGCATTTGAAGCGTAAAACGAATTGCTGCCTCGTTTCGAGTTCATGTCTACTATGGTTGGGCCTTGAACAGGAGCGATCAAAACAAACTTCTGGCAGCTGGGCATAATTTGCTCGCTGCTTAGCTGCACATTGTATTGCTCCCTGTTGCTTGCTGCAGGCGCTTATTGTTTGCAACCTTCATCTGCGCGTACTCCAGGAGGCAGGCCTGTGAGTTCTCAGCGCTCTATCTGCAGGCGCCCGGACAGTTGCAATGAAAAAAACACTTGTTATGGCTGATTGATTTTTGAATTCCAACTTGTGGATATACAGCGACAGTGCTATGGTTTTTCAACAGTTGCAACTTCGCAGCAGTTACCCAAAAGCAACTCAAAATGCAGTTGTATGCTAAAACCTCAAAAAAAATTGGCGAGAGTTTAGTTCCTTTTGCAAACTGGTGGTTTCTTGTGGAGGCAATGTTGATTTACAATTTTGTGGATCCACATTTTTTAATTCGCCCCAATGTGGATCCACATGTTGGCACTTCACCCAAATGTGGACCCACAAATTTGAGATTTCATTGCCTACTTAGTTTTGTGGGTCCACATTCCTGATGTTACCGAAATGTGGGTTACACATTTTCTGAAATTTAGACATGTGGACCCACAAAGTTGGTTCGTGAGCTCATACTTAATATAACGAAAATTTGAGCATTGCAAATGAACAACAAAGCCATTGCTTCCACATGTGCATGGCCAGGTTGAGTTGGGCCTTTGCTGTTGCTGCTGAGGCCTGGGCCATGTTTCGAACACTGTTCAATACACAGCGCGAGCTAGCAACTGTAGCCCAGCACTTTAGTTCGACACAGTGGGAGCCCTCTCAACACCATGTTTGTAGTTGTATGATGTGCAGTTTTGCTTTGTTTTCACCACACCTTGAGCTGGTAACGCATTTAGCTCCGTGCGGTTTGACAGGTGGATTTCCTTTGTGGTCCTTCCAGACAAGGCGAGATAGTGGCTCTGGGGGTCGGATCGACGCGCTGTACAATGAGTTTGGAACATGGTTTCATGAATATGTACACGTTTGAGTTTTCACCGTTTGATTTTGAGTGAGCACGCAGACGGATGGCTCTGGCAACATTTGAAACATTGCCATGGGTACATGCATGCGACGCACACACACGTACACATAC